GTTTTCTTCTACTTTCATTTTAGTTCTTGTTCTTGTTGTTCATTTCCTCTTATCTCCATGGGGAAGTGGAACAGAATTCTTCCTCCATAAGCCATGCGTGTTGTAAGAGGCGACTAAAATGCCAGGAGCAAGGAGCTAGTAACCCCTTCTCCTGTATATATTACTAAATTTAAAAGGAGAAACTTACGTTTTTCCTTTTGGGCCACCCCGCCTCGGTGGGATATGGCCGGTGTGTTGAAACAAATATTATAATAATAAGGTAAAAGGACCCCAATGGAAATAAGTCACTCTGTCTGACTTTTTTGGGTTATCCTAGGTTCTCTACACATATGCTGCTATGTATGATAATTCTATGTAACTATATTTGTGTATACCTGAATAAACTTACTTACTTACTTACTGATGGGTGAACATAGACAACAGGTGTAAAGAAACATGCCCAATGTTTCTACCCTGGCTGGGAATCAAATATTTACCAAAAATCATATATGGCTAACCCAAGCTAGGTACTGGAAATAAGCTACTTTGTCTGACTTTTTTGGGTTATCCTAGGTTCTCTACACATATGCTGCTATGTGTGATAACCTATGTAGAGAAAATAGCTTTTTTGTTTCAGTTTTATGGTGCAGTACGAGTGTATATCATAGCCCTGTGCTATACTCTGTTGTCTCTAATATAAGCCCCAAGACAGGGATAGGAGGATGGTACTTGTATCCCTTATCCTCTTCATACCTCCGTTGAACTGCTTGGTGTTATGCCAAATATTATTTATTCTGGAGTATTTAATATGTTTTTATGTTATTTATATTGTTTATTATGTCTTATTAGATAAATTGTGATAGGCAAATAACCTGTAGTGTTGATATTAGTGTAATAATAAAGCATATTCTCCTGCATCACGTGACTGAGCTCATGGCAACTGATAGTGGCTTCAAAGCCACCTTATCTTTAACCTGTATGGCACTCCGAATATTTTGAAAAAAAAAAAAATTTCTTTTACAATGAGGAGCACATTTTTTTACATGTTATAGGATTAAAAAAAATTTAGAGTCAGTACTTACCGAGATATAAGACCGTGAAGTTGGCTCTGGATGCTCACCTGACAGTAACATCGACTTCTGCTGCTTGCAGAAGTATTGCTGATATATCTGTTTTTCTCGTTTTTATTTTAATTTATATATTTTTTATGTTCTGATAATTGCAATTTATACTAGTTCTTGTAATTTCATAGCCAATCTTTGTTCTGACACTAATATTAGGTACTGACATAGTGCTAAAATACTCACGATCACATTGGCAGGTGAACATTTACACCTGCCTGGGTTATTTACTATTGTCTAGAAATATATACAAAGTATTTATAGGTCCCAGCAATGTTTTAGATACCCTGGCATATTCCTTGAAGCATGTTGTTATGAAAGGTATCCCTATACTCTTGACAGCCCAGTGACATTTGATAAATATCCACTGCTCCAGCTAACCCTCACTGTATTTGTTATCACTGTTACACACAAACATGTCTTGTCTGTCTTTTTATGTCTATGTGTCTGTCTCTGTCTATCTGTCTGCCTGTCTGTGTGTCTCTGCTTATCTGTCTTTCTGTCTGCCTGGAGTATACATATATCAAATTCCTTGAAGAATGGTGTTATGACTGTTATCAGCTCAGTGACATTTGATAAATGGGTGCTCGGGGAACCCTGGCTTTATTTGTCTTCACTGATTCACAAACATGTTTCTGTCTATCTGTTTGTCTATCTTTGCCTGGAATTTTTGAGTTATCCTAGGTAATTTACACTATGTATAATAACTGTACTTGTGTGTACATGTGGGACAGAGGTATAGATAGACAGAGATATAGACAGATAGAGATATAGACAGAGACAGCCAGAGACAGCCAAAGCAAGCCAGCCAGCCGGCCAGCCTGCCGAATACATAAGAATATAAGAAAGAAGGAACACTGCAGCAGGCCTACTGGCCCATGCAAGGCAGGTCCATGTCACCCTCCCCCCCCTCCTGGCTTAGACCAATGACCCACCTAGTCAGGTCACATCCATTGAAGGAAGGAGCATGACATCAGACCTAGTAGCACAAGCTAGTCAGGTCCAACTCACACCCACCCACACTCACTCATGTATTTATCTAACCTATTTTTACTTTCCTCTTAAAATGGGAGTGTTAATGTGACATGGCATCAGTGAATCCCTGGTGTTTGCCACGCTATTTTCTCTAGCTGGCACTCAGTTGAACTGGTGCTCCTACAAGGTACTAAGTGCTCCCAGATTTTTTTAATACTGCACACATTGAGTGCACAGACCCATTCTTTCATGTCTAGGTGACTCAAGCCTATTGTGCCAAATTTGAAGGAATGAAAAATAAAACGTTGATCTACGTTTGGAGCACTAAGCATGCAAACGTAGATCTGCGTTTGGACAGTTTAAGGATTAATTGACAATGTACTGTATAGGTGCTTTACACAACGAGAAGCATTTCTTTTATTCATTGGAACCATGGCTAGGGCTAAAAGGAAGCACGTTAAAACAATAAAATGGAGAAAAAGAAATTGGAATGACTTGTGCAGCAAGTAGCGCCACCAAACAGTACCAGCAGGTAGGCGTGGTGACCCTGGAAATTTGAAATTATGCTAGCCGAAATTAGTGCCAAATAACTGATGGAACCAGATGTCTGATTGCTGGATTTGTGATGGCAGACCTGTACCATCTTTGTTTTAGAAAAAAATAAAAATATTCGGAGCTCTGGCAGTGAATACATAGATGAATGTTTGGACAGTTAAAGGTTTAAGATAGTGTAAAGTTTGCCTGAAATGCTATACATACAGTGGGCCCCCGCCTTATAATATTAATCTGTTCCTGAGAGCTCTTCGTAAGCTGAAATTATCGTTAGCCGAATTAATTTTCCCCATGAGAAATAATGGAAATCAAATTAATCCGTGCAAGACACCCCAAAGTATGAAAAAAAAAATTTTTACCACATGAAATATTAATTTTAATACACAAACTGAAGAAGACATGCACAATTACTACTCTACTAAGAATAGAATACATGACACCTAAATTTATTGAAGATCTGGTGATGATTGATGGGATGGGAGGAAGGGAGAGTGTGGAAGTTATTGTTTAGAAGGGGAATCCCCTTCCATTAGGACTTGAGGTAGCAAGTCCTTTTCCCGGGTTACTTCCCTTCTTCTTTTAATGCCACTAGGACCAGCTTGAGAGTCATTGGACATCTGTCGCACAACAAATCTGTCCATAGAGGACTGTACCTCTCGTTCCTTTAACCCTTTCAGGGTTTCGGCCGTACTAGTACGGCTTACGCACCAGGGTTTTTGACGTACTAGTACGCCTAAATTCTAGTGCCCTCAAATCTAGTGAGAAAAAACTGGTAGGCCTACATATGAAAGAATGGGTTTATGTGGTCAGTGTGCGCAGTATGAAAAAAATCCTGCAGCACACAGTGTGTAATGAGAAAAAAAAAAATCTTTAACTTTGGATTAAAACAATGACTTTGCAGTGTATTTTCGTATGGTATTTATTGTTGTATTCTAGTTTTCCTGGTCTCATTTTATAAAATGGAAGACATATTACAGAAATTGAGATAATTTTGACTGGTTTTACAAAGAAAAGTACCTTGAAATTGAGCTCAAAGTAGCAGAAATATTTGATTTTTTCAAAAGTTCTAAAGTAAACAAATCATGCTAAGCATTCAATACACTTCAACTGGTGAGTCTAATATTCTTTCACAAGTGCGCTGATATTATTTGTACCATTTCTACACTAATGCAGTAGTCTGCATAACAGTAAATCTTTTATTTTTTGTGAGAATAAAAATTCAAAGTGGAATGCAAAAGAATGTAAGAGGGGCCTGGAGATGTGACTAATGAACAGAGGAAATGTTATTTTAGTGCCAGGAATGTCTTTCTTGTTTATTCTGGACCCTATTTGGAAATTGGCATCTTTTGAAATTTGTGTGAAAATGGCAAAATTGCTTAATTCTGACCACTGTATTGGATAATTGAAATTGGTAAATGGATGGTTTCTTGTACTCATATGATAGAAAAAATGGAGTTCTAGCAAAATAGTTATGATTTTTGTCGACTAGTACATTGGAATTGGCCGAAAACAAGGCTCAAAGTGGGCAAAATCGCCGATGCATAAACATCGTCGAGACCGCTAACTTCGTGAGAGCATAATTCCGTAAGTTTTCCATCAAATTTCATACTTTTGGTGTCATTAGGATCGGGAAAAGATTCTCTATCTTTTCATAAGAAAAATTTTTTTTTTTTTCAAATTTGGGTGACCCTGAGAACAAGTCTCGGAGAGGGCCTGTCAACCCTGAAAGGGTTAAGATTTGCCTAAAATGGGCCATAACATTGTCATTGTAATAGTCACCAGCACGGCTTGCAATAGCTATGTTAGGGTGATTTTCATCCATAAAGGTTTGCAGTTCAACCCACTTTGCACACATTTCCTTAATCTTTGAAGTAGGCACAATGGATTCTACAACTGGCATAGGCTTCTCAGGGTTAGCCCCAAACCCTTCAAAATCTTTCTTAATTTCCATAGTAATATTCACCCTTTTTACCACAGGGTTGGCACTAGAAGCTTTCTTGGGGCCCATGATGACTTATTTTGCAGTTACAAGCACAAGAAACACTGGGATAAGGTGAAATGTACTGAATGTATGCATGGATGCGACTGCACTGGCTGGCTTGTAAACACTGACACTCACGGGGCAGCTGAGGCCACATGTGGGACATGTCCCAGACGAATCACGTAAGGCAAATTTTTTATCATGAGGCGAGGGAAAATTTTTGCGTTCAAATGCTTCGTATGGCGGATTTAACGTAACGCAATGTGTTCGTAAGGCGGGGGTTCACTGTACTAATGGGTTTTCTGCATACACATCTCAATGTCACCGATCACTGTACAAACATTGTACGTATTATGCTGAAATAATGAATGTTTAATCTTTAATCTTTTCAGAGCTGTGCACAAGTGTTGCTGAAGCCTAAAGACAAAGGAATCCTGTGTGAAAAGGCAAAGTGCATTAGCTCATATATCCAGAAGAAGGAATTCTACGAGCACATTAATAAACTTTGCAAGAAGATATCAGTGTGTTGGTACTGTGGTGCTCAGAATGGAACAGTCAAGAAGCTTCCTCCACTCAAGATTATTCATGAAAGATTCAAGACTGTAAAGAAAGGGGACCCTATTCTTGACAATTATTTTCGTAAGTTTTTAGTTTTTATTACGTGCAGGTATTTTTTGGCTGCCCTCAAGAGCAGTGCCTTGATGTTGGTGAACAGTTCTTAACCCAGAGAATTTATTTATTTATTTATTTTGTAATTTAAGCATACATACAGAGGTACAAAAAATACAGGTAAGAACAGCAGGAGGGTTAATATCAGAGTTAAGTGTTCTATGTATGTAATAGGTGCAGTAATAAGTATGGATGTTTTGTATGGTGAGTAGGTTGAGTGTTTTGAATATTGGTGGAGTGTGCTGCCTGTAGTGAGAATTTGTTATCATTCTAACTGCAGCCTTTTGTTGGGTAATTAGTGGTCTGAGATGGTTAATTGTTGTTGAGCCCCATGCACAAATTCCATAGATGAGATAGGGGTAAATAAGAGAGTGATAAAGGGCCAGGAGGGCTGACTGTGGAGCATAGTACCGTATCTTCGATAGTATGCCTACAGTCTTGGAAATTTTCTTAGAAATTTGTTGTATATGTGTATGAAATTTGAGTCTATTATCAAGGTGGATTCCTAAGAATTTTCCCTCTGTTAGCTTTGTGATAGGTGATCTGTTTATCGTTATGTTACGGAATGAAAGATACCCTCCACTTCTTGGGATCAAACTTAATGATTTCCCATTTCCTAGGCCTTGTCTGAATCTTGTGGGTGTAGTGCTTGTCTATTTTTTTTTAATACAAGAGCTGTCTCCCACTGAGGCAGGGTGACCACTGAGGCAGGGTGACCACTGAGGCAGGGTGACCACCAAGGCAGGGTGACCACTGAGGCAGGGTGACCACTGAGGCAGGGTGACCACTGAGGCAGGGTGACCACCAAGGCAGAGTGACCACTGAGGCAGGGTGACCACTGAGACAGGGTGACCACCAAGGCAGGGTGACCACCAAAGGCAGGGTGACCACTGAGGCAGGGTGACCACCGAGGCACGGTGACCACCAAGGCAGTGTGACCACCAAGGCAGGGTGACCACCGAGGCAGGGTGACCACCGAGGCAGGGTGACCACCGAGGCAGGGTGGCCACCAAGGCAGGGTGACCACAGGCAGGTGACCACCAAGGCAGGGTGACCACAAGGCAGGGTGACCACCAAGGCAGGGTGACCACCAAGGCAGGGTGACCACCATATCAGGGTGACCACTGAGCAGGGTGACCACCAAGGCAGGGTGACCACCAAGGCAGGGTGACCACCAAGGCAGGGTGACCACCAAGGCAGGGTGACCACCAAATCAGGGTGACCACAGAGGCAGGGTGACCACCAAGGCGGGGTGACCACCAAGGCAGGGTGACCACCAAGGCAGAGTAACCAACTGAGGCAGGGTGACCACCAAGGCAGGGTGACCACCAAGGCAGGGTGACCACCAAGGCAGGGTGACCACCGAGGCAGGGTGACCACCAAGCAGAGTGACCACCAAGGCAGGGTGACCACTGAGGCAGGGTGACCACCAAGGCAGGATGACAACTGAGGCAGGGTGACCACCAAGGCAGGGCGACCACCAAGGCAGGGTGACCACTAAGGCAGGGTGACCACCAAGGCAGGGTGACCACCAAGGCAGGGTGACCACCGAGGCAGGGTGACCACTGAGGCAGGGTGACCACTGAGGCAGGGTGACCACTGAGGCATGGTGACCACTGAGGCAGGGTGAGCACTGAGGCAGGGTGAGCAACTGAGGCAGGGTGACCACTGAGGCAGGTGACCACTGAGACAGGGTGACACCAATGCAGGTGACCACCAAGGCAGGGTGACCACCAAGGCAGGGTGACCACCAAGGAAGGGTGACCATCGAGGCAGGGTGACCACTGAGGCAGGGTGACCACCTGAGGCAGGGTGACCACCAAGGCAGGGTGACCACCAAGCAGTGACATGAGCAGGGTGACCACCGAGACAGGGTGACCACTGAGGCAGGATGACCCTGAGGCAGGGTGACCCAAGGCAGGGTGATCAAGGCAGGGTGACCACTAGACAGGGTGACCACCAAGACAGGTGACCACTAGGGCAGGGTGACCACCAAGACAGGTGACCACAAAGGCAGGGTGACAAATGAGGCAGGGTGACCACTGGGCAGGGTGCCCCAAGCAGGTGACCACCAAGGCAGGTGACCATCAGGCAGGGTGACCACTGAGACAGGGTGACCAAGGCAGAGTGACCACCAAGGCAGGGTGACACCAAGGCAGGGTGACCACACAAGGCAGGGTGACCACCAAGCAGGTAACCACCAAGTGCAGGGTGACCACCGAGACAGGGTGACCACCAAGGCAGGTGACCACCGAGGCATGGTGACCACCAAGGCAGGGTGATCCCAAGGCAGGGTGACCACCAAGGCAGGGTGACCACTGAAGCAGGGTGATCACCAAGGCAGGGTGACCACTGAGGCAGGGTGACCACCAAAGCAGGGTGATCACCGAGGCAAAGTGACCACCAAGGCATGGTGACCACCAAGGCAGACTGACCATCGAAGCAGGGTGACCCCTAGACAGGGTTACCACTGAGGCAGGGTGACCACCAAGGCAGGGTGACCACCGAAGCAGGGTGACCCCTAGACAGGGTTACCACTGAGGCAGGGTGGCCACCAAGGCAGAGTGACCACCGAGGCAAGGTGACCACCGAGGCAGGGTGACCACCAAGGCAGGTTGACCACTGAGACAGGGTGACCACCAAGGCAGGGTGACCATCGAGGCAGGATGACCACTGAGGCAGGGTTACCACTGAGGCAGGGTGACCACCGAGGCAGGATGACCACTGAGGCAGGTTGACCACTGAGGCAGAGTGACCACCGAGGCAGGTTGACCACTGAGACTGGGTGACCACCAAGGCAGGGTGACCACCGAGGCAGCGTGACCACCGAGGCAGGGTGACCACCGAGGCAGGGTGACCACCGAGGCAGGTTGACCACTGAGACAGGGTGACCACCAAGGCAGGGTGACCATCGAGGCAGGATGACCACTGAGGCAGGGTGACCACCGAGGCAGGATGACCACTGAGGCAGGGTGACCATTGAGGCAGGGTGACCACCAAGGCAGGGTGACCATCGACTCAGGATGACCACTGAGGCAGGATGACCACTGAGGCATGATGACCACTGAGGCAGGGTGGACCACTGAGGCAGGATGACCACTGAGGCAGGATGACCACTGAGGCAGGGTGACCACGAAGGCAGGGTGACCACTGAGGCAGGGTGACCACTGAGGCAGGGTGACCACTGAGGCAGGATGACCCTGAGGCAGGGTGACCCAAGGCAGGTGATCAGGCAGGGTGACCACTAGGACAGGGTGACCACCAAGACAGGGTGACCACTGAGGCAGGGTGACCACTGAGGCAGGGTGACCACTGAGGCCAGGAGGACCCTGAGGCAGGGTGACCCCAAGGCGGGGATCAGGCGGGTGACCGCTGAGGCAGGTGACCGACTGAGGCAGGGTGACAACCAAGGGGGGTGACCACTGAGGCAGGGTGACCACTGAGGCAGGGTGACCACCAGCAGGTGACCACCAAGGCAGGGTGCCACTGAGGCAGGGATGACCACTGTGGCAGGGTGACCACTGAGCAGATGACCACTGAGGCAGGGTGACCACTGAGGCAGGGTGACCACTGAGGCAGGGTGACCACTGAGGCAGGTGACCACGAGGCAGGATGACCACTGAGGCAGGTGGACCCTGAGGCAGGGTGACCACTGAGGCAGGGTGACCACTGAGGCAGGGTGACCACTGAGGCAGGTGACACCAAGGTGGGGTGACCACTGAGGCAGGGTGACCACTGAGGCAGGGTGACCACCAAGGCAGGGTGGCCACTGAGGCAGGTGACCGCTGAGGCAGGTGACCACTGAGGCAGGATGACCACTGAGGCAGGTGACCACTGAGGCAGGGTGACCACTGAGGCAGGGTGACCACTGAGGCAGGGTGACCACTGAGGCAGGGTGACCACTGAGGCAGGGTGACCACTGAGGCAGGGTGACCACTGAGGCAGGGTGACCACTGAGGCAGGGTGACCACTGAGGCAGGGTGACCACTGAGGCAGGGGACCGCTGAGCAGGTGACAGCTGAGGCAGGGTGACCACCAAGGCATTGTGGACCACTGAGGCAGGGTGACCATGAGGCAGGGTGACCACTGAGGCAGGGTACCACTGAGGCAGGGTGACCACTGAGGCAGGTGACCGCTGAGCAGGGTGACCGCTGAGGCAGGTGACCACTGAGGCAGGGTTACCGCTGAGGCAGGGTGACCACGAGGCAGGTGACCACTGAGGCAGGGTGACCGCAGAGGCAGGGTGACCCTGAGCAGGGTGACCACCAAGGGGGTGACCACTGAGGCAGGGTGACCACTGAGGCAGGGTGACCACGCAAGGCAGGGTGACCACCGAAGGCAGGGTGGCCACTGAGGCAGGATGACCCGTGAGGCAGTGACCCTGAGCAGGATGACCACTGAGGCAGGTGACCACTGAGCAGGGTGACACTGAGGCAGGGTGACCACTGAGGCAGGTGACCACTGAGGCAGGATGACCACTGAGGCAGGGTGACCACTGAGGCAGGGTGACCACTGAGGCAGGTGACCACTGAGGCAGGGTGACCACGAGGCAGGTGACCGCTGAGGCAGGGTGACCACCAGGCATTGTGACCACTGAGGCAGGGTGACCACTGAGGCAGGGTGACCACTGAGGCAGGTGACCACTGAGGCAGGTGACCGCTGAGGCAGGGTGACCGCTGAGGCAGGTGACCACTGAGGCAGGGTGACCACTGAGGCAGGGTGACCACTGAGGCAGGGTGACCACTGAGGCAGGGTGACTACTGAGGCAGGGTGACCACTGAGGCAGGGTGACCACTGAGGCAGGGTGACCACTGAGGCAGGGTGACCACTGAGGCAGGGTGACCGCTGAGGCAGCGTGACCACCAAGGCAGGAGAGAACGAGTCAAATTATCTCATTTATTTAGTAATTTTACAGGAAGGGTTACTAACCCCTTGTGGGCCATCTATGTATAAATGATATAATGTTGAAT